TTGCTGATACAAACAGTCCACGTAGTTTGTTTTAGCTTTATTTTCGACTCCTCGAATCGCGCGATTCTTAAAGTCGCTCTCTCGCGCTCGCGGTCGTGGTTAGATCCCTTACGAAACGCTCGTCCCCCTCGAGATTCACCACGTACCCTCTTCCAACAATTCGTACATTGTTGGAAGACTACGTATTGCACAAAATCTCGAGCCCAGTCTTACGTAAGTTTCAGGCTTCGGCAGGACCGCCGAAGAAAGAAAAGGCTCTATATGAGCTGAAGAGGCCCTGACAAATTGTCTCAAGACTGGGCTGCAACAAATGGCTCTTCATCTTCATCTTCGGATGTCATTCCAGTTACTATCATGTCACTTTACTTGCCTGTAGTTTTGTAGTTAGTTTGTTTTTTTGGCTGGCTCACGTATGCATGTACTTTGTACATGATTGCAGGATATATCCCAGCCACCAGAGCAACTCGCGGTTTTAATATACATACAGTAGCGAATGTGCAATAATCGCGTTTGTTCTTAGAGTTGCGAACTGTTATTTTTCGCGTTGGTTTTTCAGGGTAGTGTTGCGAATAATCACCATACGCGATTGTCTTTATGCAAACTTAGGTACCGGGAGTTTGCTTTAAAAATAGCGTTGCGAATTATTAATAAACGCGATTGCTTGTAGAGTTGCGAATTACTATTTTTCGCGTTTACTTTTCAGAGTAGTGTTGCGAACAGTCACGATTCGCGTTGCTTTTTTACTCTTTTATACATACAATGGATATCAACCGCGTTTGTAATTTTCATATTATAAATTAGCGTTGCGTTCTTGATTTATCGTGCGATTTTTTCTTTATCGTTGCGATATTTTCAATGCCCAAATTCAACCCTAACTGTAGTAATAGAAGTAGTTAGTTCATTTAGTGGCCAGTACATGTGAATTTACATGTACGATTAACCCCTGATTAAAGTTAGAGTTGCGAACAATATACAATGTTCGCGTTTGCTCGTAGTGTTGCGAATAAATATTTATCGCGTTGATATGTCAGTGTTGCGACTAAACATGATTCGTGATTGTTTTTATGCAAACCTAGGAACCGGGCGTTTGCTTTAAAAATAGCGTTGCGAATTATTAGTAAACGCGATTGCTATTAGAGTTGCGACTTACTATTTTTCGCGTCAGCTTTTCAGGGTAGTGTTGCGAATAATTACCATTCACGATTGCTTTTATTGTTACAAGTCGCGTTTGGAATTTTTCTATTATAAATTAGCGTTGCGATTGTTGATTTCTCGCGTTGTTTGACCCGTAGTATTGCGATATTTAAAACGTCGAACTTCATCCCCATATGTGCCACTCTATTGTAGTTTGAAGTAGCTTGAAGTAGTTAGTTTATTTCATGCATGTATGTTTGTAGCTACAACTGAAGACGCCAGCACCTGATCCAACATTTTTTAGCAACGCGATTTGCATTAGCGTTGCGAGATATAAATATAATGTTTTCATTAAAGATAGAGTTGCGAAAAATATACAATAATCGCGTTTCTTCTAGAGTTGCTAATTGCTATTTTTCGCGTTTCCTTTCCAGAGTAGTGTTGCGAATTTCATACGCGATTGCTTTTACTGTTATTTAAGAATAGCGTTGCGAAATCACCGATCGGTTTGCTCTTAGCGTTGCGAATGACTATTTTTCGAGTTTGCTTTTCAGGGTAGTGTTGCGAATAATCACTATTCGCGGTTGCTTTCATTGTTATAAATCGTGTTTGGAATTTTTCTAGTATAAATTAGCGTTGCGATCTTGATTTATCGCGCTTTTTATTAACTAGTGTTGCGATCCAATGCCCAAAATTTGACGCTGGCATCTGCTCCAAGATCATCACGATGAAGCTGGGGATTCTATAAAGCCTCCAATGGCTCAACTTTATTATTAAAATTAGTGTTGCGTATTATTTAGTATGGGTGCACGCGATTTAATTAATAAAACAACCCTGTGTGGTTCATTTTACAAATAATAAGCACCCCACGCGACTTTTGTATTTTATAAATTGGCGTTGCGAAAGAAACAATGGTCCACTCACGGGTTGTTTGAATTTATGAGTGGACGTTTATCCTAACCACGTGAAATATATCTTTTCTTTTATATATTTGTCAATCGAAATACTGTTTGGAAGAACTGCTGTATATAAACGAAGTGTTTCATTTTTCGTAACGTGTACAAATTTTTATGAATACATTTTTATCACAGATTTGTTATGCATTTCAAAATGCTATATTATGATTAAATTGATTGTAGATCGAATTCAGGATTCCAATATATAAATATATATCAGTAATTATTCATTGTTAAAGTTGTTAATTTTTATGGGATGTATTGGCGTTTCATCACAATATTCATTTATAAATAGCGGATTTTTTTTATAAATATTCGGAATTGTTTGCATAGATCAAAGTTTCTTCGCGATGATTGTTTCAATACATGGTAAATTAAATAGTTGCATCAAACGGGTATGGCAAAAAGGCAATTTGATATTTCATATTGAGAGTTAATTTCCACGTAGAACCGATATCTGTGTTTATTATTGCTTTTTTGTATAACATAGTTTTCAATGCGGTAAAATATAATTATTTCAACATATACATCTCAATTCACGTATTTAGTATAAAGAAAATTCTGTGATTGTTAGATTTCTCTTATACATATACCCGGCCGCACGCGAAATCTGCTGTAAGAGCGATTAGCGACGCGGCGCCGCCTCGCGGTCATCGTCGAAGTTGCCCGCGTGCGGTCGGTCACGGAGTCGGTAGATGGCGGGTTGCCGGGGTCGCGGCGCCGATAAGTGACTTTCGTCACACGGTATTTATCTTAACACTGTCTAATTTTGACGGTACATAATTATTTTGTTCTGTGCCCACTAATACATTTTCATTTCAGCTACTAATCCTTTGAACAAGTTCTTTTTACAGAATATAGTATAAGCACAGCAGAATGGAATTGGAAATAGTCTATGGATTCGAACTTGATCATTCTTAGGAAAATATCTATTTCATACAATTCTATTTATTGTCTGATTTTATGTTTCAGGAAAACATCGTGGGATTAACAAAGACAAGAAACCGAAAATATCTTTTCATATTTCTTTGTTTTATGTGAGTTATATTTATTGTATATGAGTGTTTGTTTCAGGGAAACATCGTGGGACTAATGAAGATACCAAGAAGAAAATATCTTCTCATATTTCTTCATATTTCCACAGATTGCGTTAGAATATAAGTATAAATAAAGTTAAGTTAAATTGTTATATTATTAGTAGCCACTACAAGCACCTTAACTATAAAATAAAAAAGCGAAAATTACGGCACCTTAGTATATACTACCGAAACAAACGTACGTTTAAGTGGGACCAATTAATATTAAGTTGATTCATGCGGTCGCACGTTTCTACGTCGTTTTTCAGTGGTTTATTAGGCACTATCATACATACAATACACAAATACATATTGATATTTATGTATCATTTATGTATCTATTTCGTTCATACAAAACATGTGTCTTATTAGAAACTATCATACATACAATACACAAATACATATTGATATTTATGTATCATCTATGTATCCATTTTGTTCATGAAAAACATGTGGTGGCTCATCTCACATGTATCAACATTTTGTTTGGTTTTTTGCCTCTTTATTAGGCAATTCTTTTAATTTGTTGTTAGTTTCTGTCACATATCTATTTCGTTCCTAGGAAACATGTGGTGGATAATCTCACATGCATCAACATTTTGTTAGATTTTTTGCCTCATTATTAGGCACTTCGTTTAAAAACCATTAGTTTGTTGTTAGTTTCTATCAACGATCGACTTTCGATCGCTTCTCTCTTAGCAGAAAGTATCCGTAGATGTTAGGTTTCCTCACCAAAGGAGGGTGGTTGGGGTGAGGCTGGGGCGGGTCTCCATTCGCAGCAACCTCCACGCGGTGAGACCTGGAGATTATTATTTAGTATGTAATTAATTTCATCGCTTGTTACTGTATAATATAGTTATTTAATAATTAATTGCATAGTAAATAATATGAGCTAATGGCTGCGATTTTCCTCGTGTAGTTTGGTATAAACATAGCTTCTTCATCAGAACCAAAACAAAGAATCAATACTTCGATCGTTTATCAAATCGTAACTCTTGTCACATTTAGTTTGAATTCTTCTAGTTGAATATAAATTTCGGTGAGGAATTTTTTTCTCAAAACTGAGGAGTATTTCGGGGGTATGTCTGTTGACCAAAAATAATTGTAATTGACCCTTGCAACTGGAAATAATTTTTCCGCACATGCGTATCTATAAAACATCATAACTTTTAAACGGATTGGGCGAATTTAATGTCTCAAATGGCAAACAAAGCGTGTTTTGGTCAAGAATATGTATACATTCCAAAAATATTCGAAAAGTTGTTTCTTAACCCCGTAAAGTGAGTAAGACCCCATAAAAATGGTCCAATTTTCAAACAGCCATAACTCCTACAATAATGAATATATTTCACTGAAAGTTTTTCCTGAAGTTGAGCTCATGGGTACCTATAAAAAAGTTGTCTAATACAAGCAATAATATCTGCGAGAAAGAAGTTACTGAATATATCACCTAGCAGAACCAAATTACTACTCTTCCATATATGGAGGTTTAAAAGATGTCGATTGTAATACATATGTAGGATTTAACGAAGAGGATTTATTTGAGGAACAAATGTACAAATCATATAATTATAGTAAACTTTGGAACGCATAAATTAATAATTCCCCCAGGGGGCTTACCTTCGGGTAAGTGCGGGCTTGACGCACCCGGGGCCCCGAGTCCGGGATCCCAAGGTGTAACCTACCGTGCTGATGGGATGAGTGGCTTCACGTGAGTGAGTCTCGAACGGTGGATTCCAGATACCAGGCATCCTCTGGTCTTATATCAGCCTTGTCACAGCACGCCGGCTCTGCTGTGATTGACGTATTTTCCGAGCCTACTCGTGGGAACCATATGAATTGCTCATTAAAATCCATTATAAACTCAACGGAGCTGTCTACCTCCTCAAATGTGGACAAACACCTCGTAACAGCTTCCAAAACACCGCCTATAGGTAGGAATGCCGTTTATTACATTGTGAAATCACCGGATGGTGAAATTCAGAAACTGAGTCCGTTTAAAATACAAAGAGGCATTAGTGAACAGATTGGTAATGTCAAAAGTGTGAAAAAGATACGGGAAGGTTTATTAATTGAAGTAAAAAGTGCAGCGCAAGCACAGCGAACCAGAAATTTAACATCTTTAGCAGGTATGCCGGTCTACGTTGAACCTCACCGGAACCTCAACCTCTCGAAGGGTATAGTTACTCACCGAGATCTAGAATGGTGCACAGTGGAAGAAATTAGGGCGGAACTAGCTGACGCGGGTGTCATCGACGTAAAACGCCTCCAAACAACCAGAGACGGAGTTAGGGTGGATTCTAATTCATATATATTAACCTTCGACAGCCCAACACTACCAGATAGGATAATGGCTGGCTACCTCTCAATCCCTGTAAGGCAATATTTCCCACCACCCCTACGTTGCTTCCGATGCCAAAGATTCGGTCACACTTCGATGAGATGCCCAAATGAAGAAATATGCAAATGCGGAAGTAAGCCGCACGGAGAAACAGCATGTCAATCACCACCCTGCTGTGTAAACTGCCATGGTCCACATTTCCCATATTCAAGATCTTGCCAGTGGCAACAGGAAGAAACAAATATTCAAAAAATAAAAGTGACGGAACACCTAACTTACACGCAAGCAAAATTAAAGTACAGACAAAATTCTGCCAATACGACGTCATACGCTAGAATTACAGCGCAACAAAATACAAGAAACAGTACTGATCTGATAATAGATAAACTTATACCTGAAATAAGCAGGATCATACAATTACATCTTGAAAGTAAAAACAGAAATAGTATAGGAGATGCAAACATACAAGCAGACAAAAGTAAAGTGGAACTACAGAACCCAATACCCACACAGGTACTTTCACGCGTGCATCAAAGGTTGTCTCCAAACAAAAGGAAAGGAAACACAGATCAAAATTTGATAAAAAGTAACCCCGTCACAGACTACATAGAAACAGACACAGAATTAAGAAAAAAGGGCATATTAGGAACGTCTACACCTATAACTTCTGCAAACGAGACCTCATGCAGCATCAGAGCAAGAGGAGATTCGGACTCATCCATAGAACACCCAGCAAAGAAACGGCAATCAAGCAGACTCAGATCAGCTAGAAGTCAAATGGAGATTCGCAGAGAGAGAACAGCAACGCCAGCAACAGTATCGAACTCCGGCCATGAGTCGGAGTCAGACGGTTCCATAGTTACGGCACAAGTGACAAATAAAAACAAAAATCAGACAGAGAGAAAAAAGAAAGCTGAAATTCCAAAGTCGAGCGCCAGCAACGACCCCAGAAAAGCTATCAAATATATTAAATCCACGAAATAAAAATGGCCACTTTTCTACAATGGAATTACAACGGGCACCGCTCACACAAAGCAGAATTGGAACTTTTAGCAGCAAAATATAATCCTACCACCATAAGCTTACAAGAAACACACTTAAGACCCTGGGACCAAATATCAGTCAGAAAATTTACCTTACATCGACTAGATGTCGAAGATACTATCAGAGCGAAGGGAGGTATAGCACTTCTAGTAAAAGATGATATCCCAGCAGAACCAATAAAACTCATCACCAGCTTATAAGCAATAGCAGTTAGACTAAAATATCCGTTTCCCATCTCCTTATGTTCCGTTTATATCCCAGAGTATGAATGGGACATTCAAAAAATAATGAAGCTTGATAGAACAAATCCCTAAGCCATATATCATGCAAGGAGACTTTAACGCCCATAATCCACTATGGGGCTCATCGAAACTGGACTCCAAGGGAAGAGACCTCGAAAACTATATAGAGGCCGCAGACATACACCTACTAAATGACAAATCTCCCACCCACTTCAGCACAGGATATGGAACCTTCTCAGCTATAGACCTAAGCATTTGCTCTCTCTCAATAGCACCCACCCTACACTGGAGTGTCGTGGACGATCTATACGGAAGTGATCACTTTCCTATACTGACCATAATTTACAACCAGAACCCAAAGCCCGAAGAATACCTTCTACCCCGAAAAACACAAAACATAAACTGGCAAGAGTATACATCATCTTTCCCAACCGACCTAGAACTGCCCGAGGATATAAATGAAGCAACATCAAGAATTACAAAAGTAATAGTAGAAAAGGCAGAAGCCTCCTCTATAGAGAAACCCAGACAGCGACACAGAAAAAGAGTCCCGTGGTGGAATAAAGAGGTTGGGAAAGCAATAGCCAAGAAAAAACAAACTCTTAGAAGATTTAAAAACACTCACACAACAGAAAATCTAGTACTTTTCAAAAAAAGCAGAGCTGAAGCAAGGAAACTGATCCGAGAAAGTAAAGAAAAATCATGGCACGAATTCACAAACTCGCTCACCCCGTCCACCAACACAGCACAAATTTGGCACAAAATAAGGACATTAACGGGCAGATACCTCCAAAACTCTGTCAAATGCTTAGAAACAGAAAGAGGACTAATAACAGATAGCAAACAAATAGCAGAAACACTAGCAAAGTCTCATGAGCGAATATGCAGCTCGAATAACTACGAACCTTCATTCAAAGCACAAAAGTCACAACTGGAAACACCGCTCAACTTTAATACAGAAAAAGCACTTCAATACAACTCGCCTTTCTCGATTCGAGAACTCCAACAGGTACTAAATGAACTGAAAACGAAAAGAACGAAATCATCAGGACCAGACACTATTACAAACAATATGATCCTATACTTACCGACACACTTGATAGATACTCTTCTGAATCTCTACAATAATATATGGAAACAAAATCAATATCCCACAAGTTGGAAAGAACCATTAATAGTGCCAATCTTAAAGCCAGATCCGCCACAGACGCAGGAAACTACAGACCGATTACGCTAATTAATACACTAGCCAAAATCATGGAAAAAATGGTCAATAGAAGATTGATAGCGCTACTAGAATCCAAACAACTTCTGACAAAACACCAATTTGGCTTCAGAAAACAGCGAAGCACAACAGATGCAATTGTAACACTAGAGAACGCAATAAACGATGCCTTCTTCAGAAAACACCATTTAGTAGCAGTATTTTTCGACCTAGAGAAAGCATACGACACCACCTGGAAACATGGAATAGCCCAATCATTATATAACTGGGGATTGAGAGGTAATCTACCTAAATTTATTCAAAATTTCTTAAGCAACAGAAAATTTAGAATAAAAATAAATAACACGATATCAAGCCCCTACACTCAGGAGAATGGAATCCCACAAGGTTCCAGTCTAAGCGTAACCCTGTTCTTATTAGCAATAAACAGTATATTCGAAGATACTGAAAATCACATAGGAAAGCTTTTATATGTAGACGACATAGTCATATATTACGCACACGAATCCATAAAAGAAATTGAGAAAAACTTACAGAAGGCCACAAATACTGTATCGAATAATGCTAAACTCAAAGGTTTCAAACTGTCCGTAGAAAAGACCAAATGCATACACTTTTGCAAGAAGAAAAAACAACATGAAGACCAGAAAATATATTTACAAGGAAACAAAATAAATACTGTACAAACTATAAGGTACTTAGGACTGACACTTGATAAGAAGCTCTCTTGGAAACCACACATAAACGCAGTGATACAAAAATGCAAAAACATCTTGAAAGTAATGAGATATCTGTCACACACTATATGGGGCGCAGACAGAGAAATCCTATTAAAAATGTACACCACCTTAATCCAATCACGCGTGGAATATATGGGCATAGTCTACCAGAAGGAAAATCGCTCCGCAACTCAAATCTATACAATTTGTAACTCTGCCATAAGACTCGCAATAGGAGCACACAGGACGAGCCCTACGAAGAGTCTGTACTCAGAAGCAGGAATAATACCACCAAAATTTAGAGCTATCTATAATATCTTAAAATACGCACATAAAATCAAAACACAGCCGAATCATCCAAATTACACGATATTTTACCAGAACAACATGATAGCGAGATATTCGACAAAACCTCTACAAAACCAACCACTAACTGCAAGAGCCATACACTACGTACAGGAATACGAAATCGACGATATTCCCCTCATTACAGACAGAGACGTACAATATCTGATAACGCAGAAAACAAACACAATATACAGATTAGAATTATCAAACTTCGACAAAACAGAAACCCCACCTCAAATCATAAATCAGATCTTCTGTAGCATAGTACAAGAGTATACAGACAAAATAATATTTTTCACAGATGGGTCAAAAACACCAAATGGAGTAGCATGCGCCGTCAGCACCGAAGCAAACGAAATAGGGTCCTGGAAAATGCATCCGATAGCAAGGGTATTCACCGCGGAATTATATGCCATATATAAAGCACTCATGGAAGCCCAGAACACCACAAACAGCAACATCTTAATAGGCACTGACTCATTGTCATCAATTATGGCAATCAAAGCATCAGAACCACAAGACACATTATTACAGCTTATAAAAACAAACTTAGCAAATCTAGAAATACAGAAAAAGATGATTATATTTGTATGGATTCCAAGCCATACCAGTATCAAGGGAAATGAAAAAGCGGACACATTAGCGAACAAAAAGACAAGAACTGCAGATAGTAATCTACACCCCATAAGACTAGATGACATTAATAGGCACATAAAACAAATCCTAATCCAGAAATGGCAAGACGAATGGAACACAACAACTACACAGCTAAAACTAATAAAACCAACGGTGGAAAAATGGGAAATAAAAACCACACTAAACAGAAAAGAAAAAACAATACTAACAAGACTCAGGATAGGACATACACAACTAACCCATAACCATTTATTCGAGAAACAAGAACTGCCAAAATGCCCGATATGTAAAATATCAATATCAATCAAACACATAATAGAAGAATGCCCCACCTACAACAGACTGATGAACAGGTTACACATAAAAAGGTCACTACACCAAGCACTAAACAACGATATAAACAATATAAGAAAAATACTGACATTTTGCAAAAAAACGAATATAACAGAGAAAATATAAAAGAGAAAGAAAATAACAAGACAACATAGGAAGAACAATAAAACAAGGATTAACTAAACCATACACAACAGCCAAAGACCAAGCAGTCGGTGCTGTTCCAAAATTAACATTAATAATTGGCAACACAAATTAAAATCACGTCCGTCTTTCACAATCACTCGTTTCTCATTCCCTGTTGTCTCGCTGTCCCTGGTAACCCCTTCTTTCTTCAACAAAACACTTTCAACCCTTTTGCACATAAATTAACATTGAACAAAATTACAGCGTGGCACAAATATTCAATAAAAATCTCCTACACATATGTTGAATTGATATTATTTTGTATTATAATATAATAAATAAAAACGAATTTTTAAGAAAAATCGACAGAGAGTAAGTGCCTAAACTTTTCGGTGAAAAAAAATTTCTTCAAATCGTTCTGGAAAAATTATCTTCAGTTGCAGGGGTCAATTATAATCATTTTTTGTCAATAGATGTACCCCTGAAATCCTAACCACTTTCGAGAAAAAAATTCATTACCGATAATATCATTTCGCGAGAAATGGCACTTACTCTCTGTCGATTTTTCTTAAAAATTCGTTTTTATTTATTATATTATAATACAAAATAATATCAATTCAACATATGTATTATAATCGATATCTTTTACAGTGTAACACCCATATATGGAAGCGTAATAGTTTGGTTCTACCGCGCACCGCTAGGTGATGTCTTCGGTAACTTTTTTCTCACAGCTATTATTGCTTCTGTACAATATAAGAGGGCTGTAGAAACTTCAACATGCATCGCTTCTCGGCCTGATGGCTAAGATCAAAGTGTAGTATCTGTTCTTATCAGCTTAATATCTGATACACTCCCCATCGGGGAGTCAGAATATTAATCTGATTTTTGGAAATTGACGGAGCAGTTGGAGCTTGCTCCACCTCTGTCGCGAGTCAGCCTGGCATTGCAGTGCCGCCAGGATTGGCTCAATTTTTCCCTACAACAATTTTAAGTATTTTATTTATTTATTTATTTAAATATTTAATCTTTTGACTTTGCTTATTTTTAACTTTTGACTTTTACTAATTTTAACTTTTAAATATTCTGACTCCTTTTAACTACTCTCTTTTGATCTTGCATTTACTTTTAACTTGTCTGCTTTTACTTTCGCTTGCTTGCTTTTTTGTGAGTTTCAGACATGGCCGAAGGATCTGGATGCGTCGCCCGGGGAAACGAGGTAATCGTACCGTTCCCGTTCCCCGAGGTCTTCAACTGCCCCCATTGTCACCGGGGGGCCACGGCGCTGCAAAGGGGAGCGGCGGTGTACCGGCGGCACGAGGACCTGGGTAAGCACCTTAGACTTCACCATTCGGGCATAACCCGGAGGTTTGTCTGCGGTGAGTGCGGCTTCACCGATAGCAGCGCGTACGCGCTGCGAAAGGTGAAGCTGCACCACGCAGCGAACCACAGTAGTGGTGCACTAGGTCCTCCTGCCGCTGGTGCACCATCGGCCGCCCCGGGCGACGCATCCGCATCCCCGGCCAGCGGACCCGCGGGGGGGACGGGCTCCCCTCGCGAGGGCGCGAGAAGCGAGGCCCCGAATCCCGCCGAAGCGGGTCGACCGACCGTTCGGGGAGGCGAACCGCCATGCGCGAGAAGACGCGTGCCAGCGGTGGCGGTATCGACCTCCCGTTGCAGGACTACGTCCTCCGCCACCACTACGACAACGGCGAGGACATCGACGAGGCGGGGGACAACGGCGGCGACGGTAGCGGCGACGAGGGCCGCTACAACGACGATGAGGAGCTTCCTGACCGTCGCCGCCAGGCGCAGCGGGACGCAGCCCGTGCCCACGACGGTTGCACCGAGGGGGTGCAACAAGAGGGTGACTCCCACCACCACCTTCGCGGAGGTCACCCGGGGGCCGCCGGCCGCCACCACCGGGGTGGCAACGACAGCTACGGCGAGGGATAAGAGGAAGAGGTCGACCGGAACACCCTCGCCGGCCGGGACGACGACGGAGGGGGGGGCCACCACCACCCAGCCGCCCCCCCCCCGCCGGACATATACACCAGACTAACTCCGGCCATTCGTCGTCGCCCGGCAGAACCACCCTGGTGGTTGTAACTTCGGCAGCAGCGGTAACGACGACGACGACGACGACGACGATGACGACGGCGACGACGACGACTTCGGTGGTTCGGGGGTCAATCCCCGCACCGGTCGTGACACCACCGCCCACCCGGGGTCCAACTCCATCGCCGAGGGGGACAGCCGGCGGCAATTCCACCTCGCCGCCGGCGCTCGCGCCCAGGACGAGGGCGCGAGCCAGGAGGGCCGCCACCGAGCCCCCTCGGACGACCCCGGGGACACCTGGAAGGAGGAAGAGGACCAGCGGCACCCCCCTGGCGGTGGTACCAGTCGCGACCGGAAGAAGGACGCCGCCGACGACATCACCGGCGGCAGTAGGATGCCCCACACCGAGGAGAGGGAGAAGCGCCCGGGCGACGTCCCTTCCGCCCGGGGGACAGACGGAGGGGGGCAACACCACCACCCCCATCTCCCCGGATGTGGGGACGATAAGGAGAAGGAGGGGGAGGAAACTCCCGGCCATCGAGGAGTCGTCGTCGGGAGAAGAAAAAGAGGCAGCGGCGGTTCCGTCGTCGTCGTCGGACGAGGATTGGAGAGTGGCGGCCTCCAGAAGAGGACGGAAGAGGGCAGGGCTGCGGACTCCCGTGCCGGGGGAGCATAGAAAAGGAACGGGAAGAAGAGGAAGGCCCCCCGGCAGCGCCAGAGCGGTCGGACCTCCCGTGGAGGCGGAACGGGGCCAAAACATGGACCGAGGCCCACATAGTAATAATAATAATAATAATAATAATAACAATAATAATAGGACTAAGGATAATGGCTGTAAGAGGTTTTGTGATAGGGCCACCAGCCCCATTAATTTTTGTAGTCGAGATAACGATAATATTGTGGACGCGAGCCGGGGCAGTCCGATTAATACCCCCGGGTCAAACCGGGGCTCTGTTTTTAGGAGATCTGCGGCCCCGAGAGGTGCCACCCCTGCGGTCATCTCGAGAGACGCCGCCGTGGATCGAAGGCGGACGGCGACGAGGGGGTGTGGGAGTGCGGCCAACCCGAGGGCAGCTGCACGTCGTGACCCGATGGTGACCGGAGGTGAGCGGACACAGCGGGCGTGCGTGGGGCTCAGGCATGGGCCGGCGCGTAGTACCGACGCAATCGCGGAGCGTACAGGGAGAGGGCGCGGACCCCCCCGGGGAGAGCGGACTCCTATGGCTGTCCCCCGCCGACGCGGTGGCGCCGAGGACGCGTCCGAAAGGGCGCGTATCGTCGCGGTCGCGGAGGCGGTGGTGACAGCGGAGGGCTTAGAGGCCCTTGCCGTCCTTGTGGCGGATTTCTTTGGAGAGAGGAGTTCTGCTCGCGGAAGGGGGGGTGCCGCACGAGCCACTGGTAGGGGGGGCGGAAGGCCTGATGCGGCGGATGGATTGGGGGGGCGTCCCCGGAGGGACGCCAGTTGCAACGGAGCGACCGAGGCTCCTCTCACACGGACGGAACACGTCCGGGAAGCGACGCGTATTCAGCGTCTGTTCCGAGCGAACCGCAAGCGGGCAGTGCAGGAGGTGCTAGCCGGGCAATCTCCGCACTGCCAGGTGCCCAAGGACATCGTCCAAGGGCACTTTAGTTCGATATATGCGGTCCGGGATCGCTCGGAACACTTCCCGGCGCTCCACCACGACCAGCCGGATGAAGGTACCAGTGAAGCACTGGAGAGGCCCTTTGGGGCGGCGGAGGTATCCACCCGACTCCGGAGGATGAAGAACTCATCCCCTGGACCGGATGGAATCACCTACGCTGACCTGAGGGGGGCCGATCCGGGAGCCGAGGTCCTGACGGCGGCATACAATGCGTGCCGTCGGGTGGAGTCGATTCCCTCCCTGTGGAAGGAGTCCAACACCATCTTGCTTCACAAGAAAGGTGAAAGGGATGACCTCAGCAACTGGCGTCCCATCGCTATGGGCGACGTCATCCCCAAACTATTTGCCGCCGTGATGGCCGACCGTCTCACCCGCTGGGCCGTCCAAAACCGACGGCTCTCCCCGGCACAGAAGGGCTTCCTGCCGTATGAGGGGTGCCTCGAGCACAACTTCGTTCTGCAGGGGGCCCTGGCCGACGCGAAACGACGGCGAAGGGAAATGGTGGTGGCGTGGCTGGACCTTTCCAATGCTTTTGGATCGGTCCCACACGCTACCATTCTTGGCGCGCTGGCCGGTGCCGGTGCCCCTCGCGCGACCGTTAACCTCGTCCGGTGCTTATACACCGATTGCACGACGAGGGTCCGTACCGCCGAAGGATTCACCGATAGGATCCCCATGCGGTCGGGAGTAAGACAGGGTTGCCCCCTGAGCCCAATACTCTTCAACCTGGCGATCGAACCCGTGGTCCGTCAGGCCACGGAGTCGGGAGCCGGGTACGAGATGGCGGGCTTCAGGGTAGCAGCCCTGGCCTACGCGGACGATATCGCGTTGATCGCGACGTCCCCCGAAAGCATGAGAGGGCTATTGGGTGCAGCGGAGGCCACGGCTCGGGGCCTGGGTCTCGCGTTTAACCCGGGGAAGTGCGCTACGCTGCACGTACTCGGGAGCGGCGCGGTGGCTCGGACCGAGTTTGGCCTCAACGAGGGACTCGTTCCAGCGCTCGGAGACGGGGACGCCTACGAACACCTGGGCGTACCCACCGGGGTTCGGATCGACCAGACGCCCTACTCCGCGATCCGGGACGTGCTGAGGGACCTGGGGGCGGTGGATCGCTCCCTGCTGGCTCCGTGGCAGAAGGTGGAAACCTTACGATCGGTTATAATTCCACGTTTGGATTTCCTGCTACGGGGCGCCAGTTTGAGAAAGTCCGCACTGGCGGAGGTGGACAAGGCAGTCAGGCGCGCGGTCAAGGGGTGGCTCAATTTGCCACAGCGGGCCAGCGCGGAGGTGGTCTACATCCCTCCCTCGCGGGGTGGATGTGGGATCCTCCCGCTGGCAGACCTGGCCGACGTGACGACCGTGGCCCACGCGTTCAGACTCCTGAACGCAGGGGACCCGGTCGTTGCGTCGGTGGCAAGAGCATCCCTTGACACAGCGGCGCGAGACAAGCTGCGTCGACCTCCGACAGAGGGGGACCTCGCGGAGTACCTGTCGGGTCGTTTGACCGGGGACTTCGCGTTGCCAACCACCGGATGTTCCTCATTCTGGTCGCGGGTGCGGTCCGCCGCGCTCAGGTCTGCGGCGCGTTTCGGGTTCCAGTGGAGATGGGGCGGTGGTCGGGCCGAGCTCTCGGTGGAGATTGCATCGCGGGGCGAGCCGGTCGTGGTGTCACCAGGAGCAAAGGCTGAGATAATCCGCCGCATGAGGGCGGCAGTGACCGGGCACTACATGGAGACATTGGTCCGAAAACCTGACCAGGGGAAGGTCTTTGGGGTGACCTCCCGCCATGCGGTGAGCAATCACTTCATGCGTGGGGGGTCGTTCACTCGCTTCGCCGACTGGCGCTTTATCCATCGTGCGCGCCTTGACGTCCTCCCGCTCAACGGAGCGATCCGTTGGGGGGGAGGCGACAAGCGTTGTCGGCGATGCGGGTACAAACTCGAGAGCCTTCCCCATGTGCTCGGTCACTGCGGCGTTCACTCGGCGGCTCGCCAGCTCCGGCACCACGGCCTGGTTCGCAGGCTTGCGACGGCGACCCGTCTCCCGGGCGACATCCGGGTGGACCGGCGTGTCCCGGGTGCCCCTGACGAACTGGCGGCCTTGCGTC